ATAATTTTTATAGCCTTCAATCTTATTTGTTTACAGACCCATAAACTAGAAAAATCAGACCAACTTGCCACTCCCACCTGCCACATCCTCTCTTTTGCAAATTGTCAATAGTTCTCTCTGACATTTAATACCATAATATTTATAACCAATAGAAATCCAGATTTTTAAACTATCAAATGATACATTGTTTAATGTTGTTTTCTGTATAGTAAAATGTATATTTTGCTTCCAGTACAAACTTTATTCCTATGAGAAATGCATCAATGAGCTTAGTTGAATTTTTAATGGCTCTTATTGAGGACGGTTAGAAAGCCAGAAAAATTGTGATAGTCATAGGACATTGTCTGCTATTTATGTGTTATTATTCTGTGTTCTTAGGTGCATTATTTGATTAAATAAAAAATAATTTGGTGTAGTAGTACCATTAGTATAAAAAAGTAGGGTTCAGTTTCATCAAGAGTAGACAACAAAAAAAAAGACCCTGGTAAGTACTATATTTCTTATTTTTCATGTGTACTTTTTATTATTATAAGAGTAACTGAAATGTAAAAATTTGAAACTTATTTGGTTAGATTAGTTAAAGAAAAATAATAATAATGATAAACAAAATTTTCACCAGGTACTCTCGCAAGTAACTTATGCATTACGTAATTCATTGTAGTGTGAGCTACGCATTTGCTGTGTGATTTACAACTTATGTGGCAGAATTATTAGTTAGACACGATTCAAAGGGAAATACAACAATAAAATATGAGCTTTAATCTTTTTTGGATAAGTAATTGCAGCATCCTGTTACAATTTGTAGTCATTCTAGAAAGAAAAAAGGGTAATTTAGATTTATTTCTTTTTTTTTGTGTGTGTATGGGGTTACAAGAACAACCTCATGTGGTTAGGGTAGAGAAAATAACATAAAATATAAAGTTTTTCTGAAAAAAAAAGTTCAAAATTTATTTAGGAGGGTTTAGAGATTATTCAAATGAAATTGGACAATTATCAGATGAAGAAAAGTATTTTTAATCTTTACATTAAAATCACTTTGCACTCAGAGCGGTCAACACATCTCAATGTATTCACAGAAAAATTTTTAGTAGAAAATTTTAATAGAAAATTCTAATTATTTGTCTACAAAAGACTAGTAATGCTTACTGAAAGCTTGCAAAATTTCATGAAGATACACAAAACATAGCAGAAGTGATAGTATGGAAACTCTAGAGGTCAATTTGGGGTCATGAACTTTGTTGAATGGAGTTAAATAAACTTGACTTCTAACTGTAATTGTTGCAGCTAGACATAAAATTGCTCAGATTGTAGAGCTACGTGATAAAGATTTTAGAAGTTTTTTTATTTTGTATGAAGTTTAGTTTGAAATATTTGTTTTCATCTAATTTTTGGTGTTTGATTAAATGACTATTTCATTAACTCTTGTATGTGTCTCAGTTTTTCTTTCTGTTTTATATTGAATGGAATTTAATAATGATGATATTCTGTCTTATTACAATGAAGAGGAATGTTTTTTTGCTATCTGTGCCTCATATTTTATGTTCAAGATTTTGTATTATAGAAATACTAGTTTAGATTTTTACCTTTTAATAAAACTTTTACAGAGATGGACAGAGAGCATCTTGGTTTGGTCACCATTAGGAACATACCTTGCCACTTTCCACCAGCGAGGATTAGCCTTGTGGGGTGGAGAAGATTTTCGACAAATAATGAAGTTCCAACACTCTAGAATACAGTTTATAGACTTTTCTCCAAAGGAGAAGTAAGTGTTCAGAACATATATCTTTCTGTTGAAAATAAATTACATAATTTTGGAATTTCTAGATATTTTGGATCAGGCATGCATGGCCTTTGTGGCTAATGTGTTGAGCTACAAGTTTAAAGGTCCAGAGTTTGAGATTTGATGCTGTTGAACATACTCCACACTTTCAGCTGTGGGCTAATTATGAAAGTGACAGTCAGTCCCATTATTCATTTCAAAGAGCTAGACAAAATCCTGGTGGCATTGGGTGATGCTGGCTGGGTGTTTTCTCCTGTGGTCAGTAGTTCAAAATTAAGGCTAGCTATATCTGAACCCTAGGGGTCTTTGACATAATTGTTTAGCATGTGTGCATAAGGTATCATTCAGATTGAAAACTCAAAAATCCAGTTTTATACGTATTTTTAAAAGCATACTATTTCATTTGGATGATTTTTCTATATTTTAATTTGCAAATGATTTTTTTTTGTGATGTTTAACCATATCATGACTGGTGAACACCTTTCATGTATTGAGTAGACACGTTCAATTAGAAACTGAAATATAAGTAATAAATCTAATTGATACTTGTTTACTCAGAAATACTTTAGAACTGATATTTTATCATTTTGTAAAGTTGATTTATTTTTCACAAAGAAAAATATAAAAAATATATTCAAATTTACATTCCTGCACAGCTTTGAGTAGTCTCATCTTCAAATCATGCACTTAATGATTTTTTTCACAGTTTTTCTGTCATTCCCAAAACATATGTTTTTATTTGCTGAGAAGCTGTCATCCTTAGATAATGTAATCAACCAATTCTTGTTTCTCTTGCATATATGTATATCAGTAAAATTACTGAAGCACAATACCCTGTTTTTTTTTTAAACAATTCTAGTAATTTTCAGAGTTCTGTTTTATGGATAGGTTGAAACTATTTATTAGTCTCTTTTGAAATTAAAGTAAAAAAAATTATATCGGTAATTGAAAGAAGGATAAAAGTTACATACACTTGAATAACCACCACCATGTTGTAACCTAAAGTCTTTTGCTCTACTATGATTTTTTTATGGTTTGACAGATTTTGTTACAGGATTTTTATCTGTTTTTAATTTAAACTAAATTAAGCTATAAGAATTGTAATTCTAAGTACATATCTTATAACATATTATTAGAACAGTAGGTTATTTCAGTAAAATGAACTATACTTTTGTGATTAAATAACAGAAAATATTTTCTTACATGTTTTTGCAATTATTAAATTTTGAAACCTGTTGTATGGGAAAGAAAAGTGTTGAAAAAAATATTGAGGAGACCTAAAGATATTTTATGCATTCTTTATGTAAATTCAATCTTCTGTTTATACAATAATACCCCCACTATTTATAGAACACTTCAGGTATTTTCTTTTGCAAAATTGACTGCAGAGATGAAGTCATATCATGGTTAATTTACAGTACAATGAGTAAGAGCAAGAATTTTTCCAACTTTCAAAGAGGCATGATAGAGGATACCTGTGTAACTGGAGTGTTGTTAACAAACCTTTCTAACTGGATATTCAAAGACATTTGCTGTTCTAGTCTTAAAAGTAACTGCTAAGTCTATCAACACCAGCACCCAAAAGGAAATATATCTGCCACTAGGAAAAAAATATTGCAAATTAAAAAAACATGAAAAACTGGCACCCAGTTAATGAATTTCTTATGACACTGAAAAAAGACTTGAGGATAGGCCTTATTTGTGAGAGGGAAAGATGTTGCAGTCTGAATCATTAAAAGTGCCTTACTCGTAATTGCCTTTAGAGTTTAACTCTTCTCAGTTGATATAGCACTAAACTGGGATGTGTATGGGGTGATATTGAAATTTTTGTTCTAAAATACAAGTTTTCATGATACTATAGCTTTCATTGTATGTTATCTTTTGTCTTATTCATTTAGCTGTTGAAAATCTCTCCAGGAATACACATTATGGAATTATTTTATTATTAATTTCAACCAGCAACCACATTATCCAATTTTTGTTCTTTGTGCATCTCTTATAGCTACCTGGTAACCTTCAGTCCTGAACCAGATAATAGAGATGATCAGCAGGAAATCATTATTTGGGACGTAAGAACTGGTTTAAAGAAAAGAGCATTTCATGCAGATCATTTGAACGAACCAACAGTATGGCCAATGTTTAAGTAAGTACATTACATACTGTTAGTTCAAATCTTTAAAATGAAATCTAAAACTAATAGTTTTTCATCCATAATTGAGTAAACTTCTAAAGGTTTTAAAATACATTTATAAAATGAAATGTCTATAGTGTATTTAAAGCATATGCCAATGTGACTGGTGTTTGGAAATGTGCATATGAATTTTACAGTGGATGATTCATATGCAAGAAGATAAGTCAACTTATAATGTAGAATGTATTTAAGTGAAAACCACAGTAATGGTGTGGCCATAGTGTTAGTAAATAACCATAGAATTATTTTTTTATCTTGCTTAATTAGTTATATGCCAAACTGATAATGTTGCTGATATTTAACCCTATCTGCCCAAGCATTATTTACTGCGCATGTCATGAGGTTTTCGTGACCTACATTCAAAATTTTATTAAATTACTTTTTATTTATGTTAATTAATATAGCTTAAAATCTTAGCTAATAATCCATATTTTAATAGTATATAAGTTTTAAGTTCTTATTTTTATAGTGCAATATTTAAAAAAATTCTGAATTTCCCCTAGTGTGACACATTTTTTCTTGGCATCTCCTCTTCTCTATTTTATTCACCACCCCTCCAATAAATATAAAATTATACATAAATTAGTTACTATAAAATCGTTTCAGGATTTCTTTTTAATATTATTATTATAATATATTTATTGCCTTATAAAATTAAGAACTTAAAACTTATATAATATTAAAATTTAGATTATTAGCCATGTTTTTATGACAAATTTATTTGTATACCATGATAAGAAAGTAGTTTAATTTTTTAGATTTTGAATGTTACTCACTAAAAACTTGTGACATGCACAGAAAAAAGATCGTGATCATGCAACCTAAGTTGAGTTCTTGGGTATATTTTTTAGGTAGGTTTCATCAAGCTTTTTTAAAGAATATCCATGCTGTAGTTTTATATGAAATGTTTCAGATGAATGAGATATGGCTTGTTTTTGTTCCTAAATGTTAGGAATACTTAAGTATATGATACAAACTTCCATTGGAGAAAAATGTTAAATGACAATTGAAACCTTTCTACATTGTTACAAATATACAGATGTGTATTAAAACTAATAAACTTAATTTGTTCCTTTCATTAGATGGAGCCCCAATGACAAATACTTTGCAAGAATGACACAGGAAACACTTAGTATTTATGAAACACCGGTAAGATGTTAGACATATATTTTTTTAGTTCATAAAATATTTTGGTTAAGTTAAAAAATGGCAGATTCATTAATGAAAATTTAAGACTGAAAATTTAGACCATTATGTGCTTATTGACAGATAGAATTTTATCATCTGTTGCAGGTAATCTCTCTATTAATTTTAGTACCCAAAATGAATTTTTTGTTCTACATTTGCTATTAGGGGTGGACAATACAAGAAATTTTGTAATATGATATTTGTTTAATACTGTATTGTAATATATTGCATAAGATCTTTGCTACTGAGGTTATTTTGTTTGCTCATTAGTCACTTAGGCATCACTGAGCTTAGGTTGCAACATCTTGTACCATTGGCAGGTTACGTGATGTATGCTATCAACCTATGTACAGCTTGATCCATTCAGAAAACACCAAACAATAAGGACTACTACTTTTATATTATAAAACTTAGTGTTAGAGCATCAGTAACTGTAGTATAATTTGTATTTAACAGGGATATTTTGATGACTTAGCTTCGATGTTATGATAGGCAGACTAAAATCACTTCCATTGTCATTATGTCTGGAGACTGCTTGGGATACTTAAATTATTTTTTAATATAGATCGTCTGAAAATGTAGTGCTACAAAAATCAAATGGTTCTATCCCAAAATAAGGATTTTACAAGTTTGTCATACATGTCATTCATATGTCTTAATTTAATGTTTATGACTAAAGGTTTTTGTGGCTGTTGATGAAGTTGAAATGTATATATATATATATATATATATATATATATTTCTCTATCATTCAACAAGCATGCACTTACAGAAGGGCCCGGCATGGCCAGGTGGTTAAGGCACTCGACTCGCAATCTGAGGGTCACAGGTTCGAATCCCTGTCACACCAAACATGCTCGCCCTTTCAGCCGTGGGGGCGTTATAATGTGATGGTCAATCCCACTATTCGTTGGTAAAAGAGTAGCCCAAGAGTTGGCGGTGGGTGGTGATGACTAGCTGCCTTCCCTCTAGTCTTACACTGCTAAATTAGGGACGGCTAGCGCAGATAGCCCTCCTGTAGCTTTGCGCGAAATTCAAAAACAAACAAACTAACTAACAGAAGCGCTTGACGATACTTTCCAGAATCCCTATGAAAACATGGGAGGGCAAAGGATTAAAAAATCATTGGCTAAAATATTACGTCTTACAGAAAAATAGTGCTAAGTTTATGATAGCAAATATTTTGCATTGAGTCACATGCTTAATCTAATGCAAATAAGTAAGTTTTATTATTGATGGTGAGTTTTTATAGTTCTAAATACAGTATTATAGTTATTGATGCTAGAAAAACAATGAAATAATTTCTGAAATGCAGAAAAATATTCTGGAAAAGTTCGAAAATGTTGGAACTTTGAAAACTGTATGTTTAAAAAGTACAGTGAAAACCATTTCTAAGGAAATAAAATATGATATGCAAACTGATGTGGTGTGAACACAACATACCAGTTAAACCACTCAACCCTAGTTGCTATTTTGTCTCCCAAAGTTGTACAAATCTAAGTTATTGTAAAGTAAAATTCTCTAAAAAAAGAAAGTATATTAGTAGATACTTATTCAAATATTTGTTATAATATATTAATGTTGATTGTCGAAACAAATGAGTTGTAATAATAGAATGGTACTTATTGTAAAATATGATTGAAAATAAAGCAATCTGTGATCTATCTATATTTAGATTATTTTTTACTATTTGTAGAGACTACGATCAGTAGTGCAAACTACCATGTTTAAAACCAGCATGCATCTTTCAGATTTTGAGTGCTTACCTATCTATTAGGTTTAAAAATTTAAATGAAAAATATAATTAAGTTCTATTTTGACAGTTATTTGATCAGTCTTATTTTAGGATTGATATTTTGTAATTATATAATATTTCTTTAAGAGTAATTAAAAAAGAAAAATTCTGCTCAGCCCTATAGAGTCTTGTCTGTAAATAGCACACAATTTTTTCTAGAATCTTTTTTTCTCATTCAAAGTTATAGATTTACAGTAGCTAAAAAACTATCACCTGAATGCTATTGCTGTTTTTTGTAGTTCGAATATTATGAACTAACTTTTTTTGAGATATTAATGCTGATGATAGAATTTAAAGAAATTTTGAAACGTCCATATTAAAGATGTTTTTTGGTATGATCGTGCTTTCTTTCATTGTAGAATGTATATTTTTATTATTGATTAGAATAATTTGTTTTGATACTAAATTTTGCTTATTGCTGTAGTCACCACTTCTAGTTATACATTATAAAATTAGATCTAAAATGGATAGAGCCTAACTTGTCACAGTGGCATCAGGTGATGCTAGGTACTTTGGTTGAGATTAATTTGTATTTGGTAAATAGAATTCATTTCAATAAATCATAATTTCTTTTACTTATTTATGTTTTTGAAAGTGATAAAATTTAAGAATAATAATTGAAAAATAGAGACTAAGTTGTCTATGTATTTTGTTGGTCATCTACCACATTCTCTAAACCTAACTAGGCTTATATGATGTCTCATCATAGAAGAAATTTCCATAGGTTTCAAACAAATATGATTTAACATGAAAATTTATACAGAATTAAGTGAAAGGGCTTCTAAAGAAACTATGAAATAATTTCTTAAGTATTCAAAACTTCACACTAAATTCTGTTGTTCTTCTCTGTAAGAGCTATACATAATCACTGTCCCACAAAACAATAAATTACTTCTCACACAAATTTATTCACTCTACATTGATGTAAATATTTTATATTTTGCTCTATCCATTAGTATTTAAACTTTACCTGTAACTATTGTAAAAGCTGAATTTCCCTCCAACTGCAGTTCCCAATTTTTTTAAACATGCTACTAGCCATTCACAAGATCAATGCAAATATTTTATAGATGTAGAAGTTTTCCAAAGCATTAAAAAGAAAACATAGAATACACGAGTTTCTGTGTTATGCTTTAATAATTTTTCCTTTTCTCTACTTAGTCATTTGGTCTACTTGACAAGAAGAGCCTTAAAGTTGCAGGCATGAGGTGAGTATAGTACACTATTAAATTTATATTACATTCTATTAGGCTTAATAAATATGTTGTTCTTATCTTGATAACATGTTAACCCTTAATTATTATCAAGAATCATGAACCTTTAAATTGTTTTCTGCTCTAGGAACTTTTCTTGGTCTCCAAGTGATAATATCATAGCTTACTGGGTAGCTGAAGACAAAGATGTTCCTGCTAGAGTTACACTTATAGAGATTCCAAGCAGAAGAGAGCTTCGAGCAAAGAACCTTTTTAACGTAGCTGACTGTAAAATGCATTGGCAGAAGTGTGGAGACTATTTATGTGTCAAAGTAGATAGATACAGTAAATCTAAGAAAGAGAAAAGTGAATGGAAGTACAGTGTAAGTTTATTTAATTTTATTTTCATGAACTAAATGTATTATTGTTTATTTCACATCATAAGGTAGTAAATTGCATCACAAACTTAGCTGTTATAGGACTTGTGAGACCGGCAGATGAGAAAAATGCTTTTATATGATTTGTATTTCAAACTGTTTATGTGTTACTGAAAATTTGGCCACTTATTTGTTATGTAAAGAACTGATGTTTGCACTCAATCACCTAAAATATATCAGTTATAAAATTACTTAAAACATAGTTTTTCTGAATATAATGTCAACAACAACCTGTGTATATATATATCTAGAAAGTTATACCACAACAAGGTAGTTAAATTTTTCATTTAGATATTTAGACATGACATTGATCTTGTATATTACTAATAACTATAAGTTATGAATTAAACCAGCTGGTATGGAAAGGGTTTTAAATCTGTTGACATGTAACTGTTATTAGTTACAAGTTTGCTTTTGATTTTCATCTTGATTATTCAGGTGTTAAAAATAAACCAAAATTTCATTTCAACTTCTTTTTTTTTGTTTTTGTTTTGAAAATTATAGAATACTTAATAAGTGATGCTTAAAACTTTCAAATAGTGGAAGATAATCCTGTAGTTTTATTTATTGTTTTTCTAATAAAAATAAATAGGTATAGCCTGGAGATGATGAATGAAAATTACTGTCTGCAAGCTTTGATAGTCTAAATATATATATAAACTTTATTGGTGGTTCCAAGCTGTGTAGAAGCTACCTGTACACTGTTAAATTTCCAAAGAAGTCCCAGAAACATAAAACAGAGTCAGCTGGTTGTAGCATGAAATATGTAGTGCAGTTGCAGGATTCAACAAAGTCATTGAATTCCTGTAAGGTCAAGGAAAATGAGCTTTAGAAATAAAAGAAAAACAGTTGTTTTAACCCTATTGCCATGGATATCCTTTAGTGTGCATGACACAAGGTTTTAGTGTCTTAAATTCAAAATTTTATTAAACTACTTTTTGTGTTATACAATTAGAATAGCATAAAATCTCTGCTAATAATCCATATTTTAATAGTATATAAATTTTAAGTTCTTAATTCTACAAGGCAGTATTAAAAAAATCCTGAATTTCTCACAGTGTGACACTCATGACACATTTTCTCTAGGCATCTTGCCTCCTCTATTTTATCCACCACCCCTTGGAAAAGTACAAAATTAAACATAAATTACTCACTATAAAATCGCCATTGCTCCAACAAACCATATTTTTTTATAGTCTTCAATTTTGTTTGGTTATAGAGCTATTGAATAGAAAATTAAACCCCTTCTGCCACACCCACCTTTCACATCCTCTCTTTCAGGATTTGTTAATAGTTCTCTTTTATATTCAATTATATATTACCTATAACAAATAGAAAGCCAAGGATTTCATCTATCCAATGACGTATTGTATAACATTATATTCTGGACGGTTAAATGTAAATTTCACTCAGAGTATCAACATCATTCCCTAGAGAAAGTTAACAATGACCTTGGGTGAATTTGTGACGACTCTTGTCGCATAGTTAGAAAGCCAGAAAAAGTTTGAGAGGTAAGGGAATTTGTCTACTTTTTGCATGTTATTATTCTATATTGTTTAGTACATTATTTAATTAAATAAAAATTATTAAGTGCGTTACTATCATTAGTATATAATAATTAGGGTTAACTCTCTTCAACAATCAACAGCAAGAAAAAAGTAGATTGGTTAAGTATTTTATTTCTTGTTTTTCATGTTTATTCTTTATGTATAATTAAAAAGTAACTAAAATGTAAAAATAGGGATCCTTTTAGGTTAGGTAAAATAAATAATAATAATATTATAATAAAAATGTTTCATGAGACACACGTGCGAGCATAATGTGAGCTGCACGTTCCCAGAGTGATTTACAACTTATAATGGCATGGATAGTAGTTAGACATGGTTCAAAGGGCAATAAAACAATAAAATTTTATGATAAATAGATGTATACTGTTACGAGATTAAAGCTACTTAAGATAAACAAATGTAGTTTCATGTTACAATTTGAAGTCATTCTAGAAAGAAAAAAACAGGTAATTTAGATTTTTTTTTGTTTTGGTGGTTACGAGGTCAGTCGAATTGACTGATTCCATTTTGAGAAAATAAGAGATAAACTATAAAGTTTTACTAAAAAAAACATTAACAGTTAAAAATTGGCTTAATTAACTCTCTTGCTACAGCTCGGTTGATGTGACCGACATTTTAGCCCCAAAGTGATCATCGAGTTTCCATACTATAACTATTAATATGGTTTGTGTATCTTCATGAAATTTAGTAGTCTTTCAGTAAACATTACAAGTCTTTTGTACACAAAAAATTAGAATTTTTAATGAATTATTTTATCAAGAAATTGTCTGTGAATATGTGAAGTTAAAGTGTTGAATGATCCGAGTGTAAAGTGATTATCATGTTAAGATTAAAAGTACTTTTTATTATCTGAAAATTCTCAAATTTCATTTGAGTAATCTCTAAAACCTCCTAGGTAAATACCAAACTTTTTTTTTCAGTAAAACTTTATCTGTTATTTTCTCTATCCAATTTGACCATAAAAAATACGAAATATATCTAAATTACCCTATTTTTCTTTGTAGAATGTCTGTAAATTGTAAAAGAATATTACAGTAATTTATCCAAAAAACGTTAAAGCCCATAACAGTATACATCTGTTCGTACTTAATTTTATTGTTTTATTGCTCTCTAACCTGTGTAATAAATAATCCCACCACAAAAATTGTAAATCACTGGAAATGTATTGCTTGTGTTACTGTATTGAATGATGTGACGAATGAACTGCATGTGAAGAATTTTTATTATTATTTTCCATTGTCTTGCCTACTCTAACCTAAGAAGTTTCTAATTTTTACATTTTAGTTACTTTTATAATATTAATTAAAGAATATACATGAAAAAAAGAAATATATTATTTACCTGTGACCTTGTTTTTTGCTGTTTTAAGTATATTAATGATACTAGTAACTAAATAATGTTTATTTATTTAAATAGTGCATTTAAAAACACAGAATACTAACATGCACAAAGCAAACAATATCCTATAACTATAATAATTTATCTGCTTTTCTAGCTATGGCATAAGAGCCTTTAAACCTTATCTTAAACTTGTCAATCTAACAACCACGGGAGAAACTTTCAAAGTGAAGACAAAATGAACAATACTCTGCACTGTAATATGTCACTTGATAGATTAAAACTTATTGTCTTCCTATTGGTTATAAATAATAGAGAATAAAATATCAGAAAGAATTATTGGCAATTTGTGAGAGAAAATGTGGCAGGTGGATTTAATTTTTTAGTTTATAACTCCATAAGATTGAAGGCCATAAAAATTATGCTTTCCTTAGTAACACATATATTATAATGAGTAAGTTACTTTGAATTATGTACTTCTTAGATGGGTGGTAAATAAATTAGAGAAGAGGGAAGACTTGGAGAACAAATGTCACAATTCTCATATTAGGGAAACTTAAGTCTTTTATTAAAATTTGATTTATTAACTACATTTTGATGTCAACTTTATTCATGTACAATGATAACAAAGTAGTTTCATTAAATTTTGAATGAATCTCTTTCTGAGATGCACACTTTGACTTACCCATAGCAAGAGGGTTAACAAAAATACTTGGTGTAAGGTCTATTTATATTTTATGTCAATCATTGTGAATCTAATGCCTTACATAACCTGAGAATATTCTAAGTTACAGAAACAATCGCATCTAATGAATAAAAATGCAAGTTTAATCCTACCTGACAGTGATCATGAGTCCTGATAATTTAAATATAGAGCCTGGAAAAAGTCCTGGAAGTAGCTTTCTGTTGTTAATAGAGACCAAATCATACAACTATTGAAAAGTCATCAGTAGGGAAAAGTTTTCAAATCCATTTTCTGTTGGGTGAAATATCAGAAAAGAACATCGGGAAATTATAATGATTGTCATCTGTATGTGTGCCTGTAACTAGAGCTGGGGAATTAGAGGTACTTGCTACTCAACTAATTGATGGGTATATTTATTGATTACATTTTATTAAGGGATTAGACTGTGTTCCTCAAATCATGGTATGTATTCCCCTGTACAAGAAACAAAGGTAAAAGTAAAAGCTCAATTTTGTTTATGGTGGATGTTGCCTTCCCTTCAAGTTGGCAGTTCAAAATTAGTGACAGTGGCAGGTAGTCTTAGCAGCTTTGCTGTAACAAAGACATTATGAACAAGTATTGTGGAAATAGGAATCGAACCTGATATCCTTGAATCATAAGGCCCTCCCATCTCATGGAATCACAAAGCTGAACAAACTCGAGGGGAAAAAAAGCAACTTATAATGCTGAAATTGGGTTTGGACACTTGCAATGGACATAACACAGCCCATTATGTAGTTTTGTGCTGACAATATTTCAATTACTTGAATAGATGGAATAATTGAAAATAGTAATAATTGGAAAAACTTATTTTGATTAGATGATTATTTTCGTGACTTTAATTGATCTAAGTGTAACTTCGATTAATCAGTTAGTTAAAATGACACTAATCTGTTTGATGCTTCTTTAACACAAATTCAGTTTTACATTAAAAACTGGAATTAATTTTCATATTATAAAATTTTAAGCATATGTATTATAAACTCTGATGTATTTATTTGATCATAGCCAATGTTGGGAAACGTTAACCTCCAAAAGCATGTGTTAAATACCACTTAATGTTGAACTGAAAATACACCAACTAAAAATATATATATTTTAAAAAATCAGCTACTTCATAAGAGGTAGTAATTTACAGGTAGAGATGTGTAATTTAATTGATTAATTAATATAAATTATTACCAATGAGCAGTAATTACTTTTACTTAGTCTTGCTAGTTTTGTGAACTGTTTTTATTCGTTGGCCTAAAATTTGTGTTGTTTATTCTGCATTATATGAAATAGTAATTGTAATAGTGTAGCAACTAAAAGATAGCATATTTGTTCTTAATTTTCCTGAAATTAACTTTACAGAGCATTATATTGAATAGTTAGAAAAATATTTTTAATGACAGTAATATATATATTTATAGCCGATACTTGAGAGTGTTTCTCAGGTCATTCAGGATTTTCATTGTTGATTTCTGATCTTTTTGATTTCTGAAGGGCTTGTACTACAATTTTGAAATTTTCCATATGCGAGAAAAACAAATTCCTGTTGACAGTGTAGAAATAAAAGGTAATTAACATATTCCATTTATCTTACTTTTATTAGCATTTTGCATAGTTTGCTTTTTTTATTATTTATAGATATTTCACATTTTTTTTGTGTTTAATGCATAAATTAAAAGATACTTTATCAAGTAACATCACTCGATTATTCTTTTCCATCATTGCTAGAGAGTAATTTTTTGTACTAAGCAATTAAAAACAAGGACAATGCATGAAAAAATTTTGATTGTAAACCAAATTATTAAAGCTGTTTTGAACAGCAGTTTCCTGTTAGAAATATATACCTGACAGCAGTACTTAACATTTGTACCATATCTTTCGAACATACATCATA